GCTTCTCTGATGCTGCTTGGCCTGCTGTGTTCATCCAGCTCTACACCTTGTTATCTCAGATTCTCCACCATCTGCAGTTCCTACTATCTCTGATACAATTTTAACCCCACTGTGAAGCCATTTTCTGATGAAGGGTCTAGGCCCAAAACGTCAGCCTTCCTGCTCCTATGCTTTGCTTGGCCTGCTGTGTTCATCCAGCTCTACACCTGCTTATCTCATAGTTTCAAAGGAGTTGAGGATTTCAATCAAACCTGTGGGAGATGATCAAATTAAAACTGATTTTCAAAATGCCCTATTCCCGATCGCATTGAGTTCGATCAAGGATGGTCCTGGAGTCTTCAGGGATTAGAATCACAGAATGATCACAGCATGGCGTGAAACTATTCAGCCTATTGAGTGTTGACTCTCAACAACAGCAATTTAGCAATTCCCACCCATCACCTCACCCCTCCCTACCATCCAACCTATCCCCGTTTTCCAACTCCTCAGTTTCTCTTTTGAAAGTCAATTGGCTCTTCTTTCGTGATCTGACAAGAGAAAATGTTTAGAACTACACAGGTGAATTAATCCATTGAAGGACCGACGCAGAGATGACAGGCCAAGTGGTGTCATTCTGTGGTATAACCAATCTATGATTATATGAAACTGTCTTCACCATTCTTTCAGGCAGTGCATTCCAGATCCTTACCAGTTTCTGCGTTAAACAAAAGATGCTTACATTCTGCACTTAACTACTTTGCTAATCAATTTAAATTGGTGCTGTTTGGCTATAATCTTTCTGTTAGTAGTAAGATAGTGGCAATGTCACCGAACTTGTAACCTAGGGGTCCAGGCTATTGTGCTTGGGACATGTGTTCAAATCTCACCATAGCTGGTAGAATTTAAAGTCAGTTGATAAATCTGGAATATAAATTTAGTCTCAACAACTTAACAATTCTGCTTAACAGTCACAAAAACCTATGTTCAATAGTGAAGGAAATCTGCTGTCTTTACCTGCTCTGGCCTGCATGTGACTCCAGACCCACAATGATGTGGTTGACTTTTAACTGTCCTCTGAAATTGCTGAGCAAGCCACTCAGTCTGGGGACAATTAAGGATGGGCAAGTGCTGGTCCTGCCAATAATACTGATATCCCATGAGACAAAAAAAGCAAAAACAAACTTTCTCCATGCTTTGTCTGGACCCCTCATTTTATTGAATATCTGTATCACGCATACACACACACACAAACAAAAGCTAAACATTGGGTTCAATTCTATGAAGCAGTGGACACATCTCCCACAGTGGGTGAGAAGTCAGGGTAGGGTGTGTGTTGAAGGGAATATCGGTGGCCTCACAGCCATTTAAGGGCTAATTAGAGACACAATTCAGGAGCTCAGCCCCTGAGCAATAGGGAGCCCTGCCTCAAAGAGCAATCAGCCAACAAAGAAAAATCCCAACAGGGCACCAACACTTGGTGTCAGTGGGGTTGCAGCACTGGGTCAGTGTTTGGTGAGCTCACTGGATGCCAAGCTGGATGGTCCTGGAGAATGTGGTACAGGAGCTGGAGTGTAAGAGGCCACTGTGAGGGAGCAACCTGTGTGGATGAGAGAAGGGAGAATGGGAGGAGAGCATGGAGGTTGTTAAAAGCTCAGCTGGGCCCTCCTGCAGCCCTTCGCAGGAATACCATGTGAGGCGCCTACTCGACATGAATCCTCCCTCAGCCAGTTAACTATCGGTGGCAATAACAGGATGTGGTACTTCAGAAAACTGTAATTGCCAATGTCATTGATGGATTGGCAGGCAGGCACCACTCGATACAATTCCCATTGCGGGTATATTGCAGTCAAAACAGAGGCAGGTTGGTGGGCAGCCAGTCCAAATCGTGTCTGCATATGTGCGTGTGTGCAATTTCACCATTTTCTTTGAACTCTTTTCTTTAATAATGACTGAAATATTGGAGATGAGGCGAAGAAACCATATGATTGGTCGGGACAGGAAATGACGTGATAGAATTTCCAGGAGTGTGATAATTTGAGTTGCCAACCCAAACTCTTGATGGGAGTAGGCAGAGTAGGAAGGGTCAGGAGTGACGCTCACATCTGGGCACAACAGGGAAATCAAGAGTTTGTTGCCTGGCATTCTCCATACATCCATTAGGTCAGATTTGAAATCCTAAAATCCTCATCTGTCAGCTTGTGAAGTGGCTCAAAATTAGTACAGTCTGATAATCAACAGAAAAAAAAAACAGTTAAACTATGAGGTTCAATGTCCTTTCACACTGGGTTGCATCTGAGAAAATACTTTCAAGCTGTTTGAACAATGGGGTACAATTTTTGCTTTTTTATTCAATTGTGAGACATGGACTGACCAGCATTTATTGCCAATCCCCAGTTATCTCTGAGAAGGTGGTGGTAAGCTATATTCTTGAACTGTTGCAGTCCGTGTGCCGTAGGTGCATCCACAATATCCTTAGGGACAGAATTCTAAAATTTTGAATTAATTGATACGGCCTTGTCATTCTGTATAACACTGGGGTACAGTTGGTGGGATCGAGTCTGTTACTGTACAACACTAGATTACAATGCTGGTGGGGACAGGTCTGCCACTGTAGAACAATGGGGTGCAGTACAGGTTGGAAAGGTCTGTCACTATAAAACTCTGGGGTACAACACTGGCAGGGATAGGTCTATCACTGTACAATGTTGCTGAGTATTGTATTTAGGAGTGAGAGTAATTTGATGTTAATTAATGGAATTACAAAGGATAGTTGGTATATTATCTGCATAATTTTGGATTTTGCCCAAATTATTCGAATGCCAATGTGACTAACACAAGGAATAAATTTATCTGTAGTGCTGATAGCAAAAGAGGCATGCTGTTGAAGATTTTAGTCTCATTCTCATCAGGACTGGATCACAAGAATACCATATCTCAAAGGGAACACCAACATATCCTGTATGATGAAGCCATCACCTTAAGAGGTTATTTTGTCCTTTTTGTTTGAAGAAAGGTTATAAGGCAGAGGTATAGAGCTGTCTCTAAGAAAGTAAACAATTTGTAAGATTTTAGGGTTTTTTAAAGAAAAAGTTACAGCAACGGGCACAGCCTGGGTGTGGCCAGCTCTCACAGACCAGCTCTCTAGTATTATTTCTCAGTTTTTAAGTTTATTTTTCCAGCTCCCTAGTTTTTTTTTCAGTTTTTAAGTTTAGTTTTAGGCAGAAGCCTTTGAAGTCTCAAAAGATTTGGAAGCTTCAGTGAATGTCTCATGGCTGCTACACTATCTGAATTTTCTCTTAATATTTCTCCCCCCTGGATTAAGAACTGCACGTGACAATCTGAGATAATAGGAACTGCAGATGCTGGAGAATCCAAGACAACAAGGTGCAGAGCTGGGTGAACACAGCAGGCCAAGCAGCATCTGCTCCTATGATGCTGCTTGGCCTGCTGCATTCATCCAGCTCTGCACCTTGTTGTCACGTGACAATCTGTGTCTGAATTTGCCTTTTTGCCAACAGGTATGTTTATGGGATGTTACTCCATCAGAACAGTTAATTAGTAATAGTGACTGTGTTTTTCATTCCAGTAGTTAAGTTTTTCTAAAGTCCTACTTCTTTTATTTGTATTTTAATTATAGTCTTTAAATAAATTGTGTTTTGCTTAACATTGAGTAGTTTCACCAGTCACATTGCATCTGGAACATGGCACTTCACATCTACCTTTAAAATAAGAAATTAGGGGCTAGGCTACCTTCTTAAAATATTTTGAGGGGGCCTGGTCTAGTCCATAAGACCTGCAAGCGAAGAGGTGCTACCAATTGGCTGGCAAGTGGACTCTGACTTGTACAAATGTTGTCATAGAGAATGCACCAGGTAACATTTAACTCCCAAGCTTTTGTTTAAATTCAAACTAGGCAAAGCAAATCTGATTGGTGAAGAGAAGAATGTAGCAGGGAAATTATGTCTACCAACTGTTTATTCAATTTAAGGGATACAATGCGTGGACATGTTCTCACTGCAGTGAGGGACAGGAGGATACATCAGGGCCTTAAAACCAGGTCTTGATGCTCTAGGGCGACTTCTGCACTTGGGTTGGGTCAGGGTTGCTGGCCCAGGCCAGCAGCAGCACTGGGGTCCCTGACTTAAATTTCTGGCTCTGATTCTCACTTTTTACAAAGGACAGGTTCATTGCAGGTCATGAAACATATGTTGTTTCTAAGTTATCTAAGTTAGCCATATCACATTTATCTATATCTGTGGCAAGACTTGGCTACTCTCTTATGCTCACTCACTTGTAGGTGATGTTGAAGTGGTCCCATTTATGCAGTAAGGGATTAATAGCATATCGCTTCTGACGTCGTAGGAATGTGTTGGGTAGCTCCTCTGGTGAGGTAGGTATCAGATATGATTTTCTTAACATCATTCTTCCTGATTCCTAGAAACACAATGGGAAGGAATCTGTTAAACAAAGGTGGTGAAGGAAGGATTGTGCCAAACTGATGAACTATAAGAGGAAAAGATGGAAAATCTTAGAATTTCTCCTGCCTTGATCATCTGTCATTGGTGTGCAATGGAAGGATTTATAATTTGGTAATAAACCTGTTTAGCCATGTTATTAATGCATTGTCCTTGACCTTGACCTGAATCCAGAACTTCAGGTTCAGTTTGGCCATGCACATGCTTAGTGTAGCCACATAGCAGGGTTACAATGGGAGCAAGTTGCACTAACTCACTTAAAAGTTAATAGACCGGTATAAGTAACCAAATGACTAAGCCTTTCTCATGACAGCCTATTAAGAAGATATATTGATCGATTTTAAACTAAAGCTCTACAATAGCTGATATCACAGATATTCAAGTGCCAAGTGTAGGATGGCAATGGTCCTTGGCCTCCCCTCCTTCTCTATGCATCTCCAGACTTTCTGTTTGATAAATATAAAGCTTCCAGAATGCATAAGAGTGAAAGGGCAGTGACACAATAAGGTGCTAACACATCCAGTTACACACTTCAGCATTAACTTCAACCAAACCATCAACACAGTTATACACAACTGCTGAAGTTTCAGAAAAAGATTATTTTTACAGTATTGAATTCCAAGCCAGTGATAATGGACCCTCCCTGTGCATGCAAAATATCTCATTAAAACATTGGCATTGAAACATCATTGGAGATTAACAAGGTCTTGTCACCAGATCAGTGGGAGGGCAACTAATTCTAAATTCTTGGAGGTTTCAGCACTTAAGCTCCTGACTCCAACAGGTCTGTCTACAGCCACCAACTGATCACCCAACACCACATTGTCCTGAGATAGTAGGAACTGCAGATGCTGGAGAATCCGAGACAACAAAGTGCAGGGCTGGATGAACACAGCAGGCCAAGCAGCATCATAGGAGCAGAAAGGCTGACATTTCGGGCCTAGACCCTTCATCAGAAAAGGGGGAGGGGAAGGGGGTTCTGAAATAAATAGGGAGAGGGTGGGAGGCGGATAGAAGATGGATAGAGGAGAGGAAACAAACAGGTCGAAGAGGCGGGGATGGGGCCAGTAAAGGTGAGTGTAGGTGGGGAGTTAGGGAGGGGATAGGTCAGTCCAGGGAGCACATTGTCATTGTCATTGTCCTACCTATCCTGTAAGTTGAAAATGAACAGAAATGTTATTATCCAGTTGATTGTCAAGAATTAGTCAAACAGCTTTATTTCTCCAATCCCCTAACCACAAGGCCGCAGGTTCAAGTCCCACTTCAGGATAAAAGAACAAAACTGTATGACTGTATGAATCTTGTTAGAGAATTGCATATTCGGAGGTGTCATCTTCTAGATGCCAAACTGAGGCCTCACCTGCTCATGCAGATGGGGGTAAAAGATTGCATGCCTCCATTATTGAAGCATAACAAGAGTGTTTGCCCCAATGCCCTTAAGAAATGTTTATCTCCCAATCAACATCACAAAAACAGTTAATCTGGTCATTAGCTGTGGCAAGTTCTGTGAGTTTGCTGGATGCAAGTTGGCTGCCTCCTGTCCTTTATCACAAGAGTGACTAAATTTCAAAAGTACTTCACCTGCTGTAAAGTGCAGTTTGTGGGAAGTATTGTGTAAATACAAGTCTTCTTTTCAACCATCAGTAGTTTTACAACTCAAACAAAATAAATTAAAGATAATTAAAAACAAACCATTTGTAATGTTCCTGCAATCCTATGGTTTGCTCACAGCAGGGTTCAGGAGATTTGTTTTTTTTTATTTCCTGGACATTCCAGCTCAATCGTGAAGGACTAGCAGTTCCAGTTGGTGACAAACATTGAGAGAAATAACGTAAACAGGGGGCGGGGAAAGAGATTTATTCTGGGGCCAAAATCTAAACATATCAGTAATTATTTACCCTAGTTGGTATCTTAAATGAATACAAGCTAATGATGCATTGGAAAACATATGGGGGCAGAGTATTCATAACCATCAAACAACAACTGTCTAATATTCTTTAAAAACTAATTCCTATGGAAAGGCAGAAACACATCAAACTAGCTGTTAAGATCTCTGGAAAGCAATTCAAACTCAAGGTGGCTATTTTCTCTCAGTAATATATCTCTTCCTCTGAATCGATCGATAGTTTTTTTTTCTCTCTAGGAGAACAAAGAATCGCGTTTGTAAATATTTGTAAAATTCATTCTTACCAGCTCAATCTTCCACGGGGGGAAAGCTTCAGCAAGACCAAGAAACTGCACAGACATCCAGAGCAACAAGAATAAAGAGAAATTCCGAGAAAATATTTCAAAATTAGACCATTTGTACCAATAATTTTCTCTTAAAGGGTGTCTACACATTCCCTTTCTCTTTGTGGATAATTCAACGAGCAGCTGGACAGTGACTTTTCACTGAGATTAAAGGAAAGGTTGCACAGTTGCTGACAAGGAGCTCAGCTGGGTCTCCACCAGCAGTGAGTTAGAGGCAGGTACTTGCACGTTTTTGCTAAAATGGGGCAACATTCACAAAATGTCAGGAGTGGATGAAAAGCCCTCAAAGGCGAGCTCCCTCTCAGACTCACCTCCCCAGATTGAAACCAGCTGTAAGAAACTGGAGAGGACGCCAAGTGAGACTCCTGCCAGCGCAGCACTCCGGCCTCCTGATTTAATATGGTAATTATTGGTCTCTGTGCTATGTTCCGACCAGTGAAATGCGCCGCGGCAGCGATTCTTCCTACAAAGGCTTCACTGTGACTGAATAAAGCACAATTTCCTTTTAGTCTGTCAGACTCTGGGGTCATAAGCTGCGTTTATATTAAATCCTCGAGGATCTCAGGCGCTGCTGAGCCAGCAGTAATCTGGCCAGTGGGTCGTAGGTTCAATCCCCTGTCCGGAGAATGGAGCCCAGAGTCCAAACTGACACACTCCAGTTAATCCCTCAGTGAGCACCATACTGTTGGAAGGTGCTGTTTTCTTCTGAATAAGACGTTGAACTGAGGCCGTACTAGATGGTACTCGATATTTTCCTAATCAACCTGTCCAGAGGTATTATTACATACCTCTGGAGCAGGTGGGACTTGAAACGGGCCCTCTGGCTCAGAGGTAAGGACACTACTGCTGCATCACAAGAGTCCTTTCTCTCTGGGTCCTTTTTTGAAAAAAAAAATTATTTAACCTACTTTTCTAATCAACCTATTCAGAGATGTTATTATACACCTGTGGAACAGAAGGGACTTGAATGTGGGCCTCCTGGCTCAGTAGAGGGACACTATCACCATGCCACAAGAGCCCCCTCCTCTTCTGATCCTATGTCAAGAACAACATAAGAGTTTCACCTGGTCAATATAAATGCCTAAACCATCACAATAACATATTACCTGGTGAGTACTCTTACTGTGAAACTTTGTTAATGCCCAAGGCTTTTGTGGCACAGTAGTAGGCCCCCTCCTCTGGCCTAGAAGTTGTACCTTCCCATTCAAATATCTATAAATTGAACCATGCAATGACTTTATTGATGTGTTATTGTTATGTGGGTGAGACATCAATTTAAAGTCGAGAGCCTTGAGGTGAACGTTGAAAGATCTATTGGCCAGGTGGTACACCATAAATTCTTCCCATTTGTATTCAAAGTTCCTTATCAGCAAGAGTCACAAGACTGAGGAAAAATAAGTTCTTTTTACTTGTATCTGAAGGATGAAATTAAGTGACAATACGATTATTTAAAGTCATTTAGGGAAATGTATACATTTCAATGAAGCCAGAGGCTTATTATTCCTAAATGACAATCTGAAACACATTTTCGTTTTCAAGAGGTTCTATAAATATTTAATATGAATAAAGGCCAGAAGAAGGAGAGCTATAATCCATGAGGTGACTGCAGAGTTATCTCAGTCTGTCTGGAAATTGAAAACTTCTTCAAAAACAGCACTTAATTTATGCTATGGAAATATTCTGATTTAATTCTCGAAGAACCAGTGATAGAATAAATGATACATCTGTGTCCTTCTCCATGAGAATACTCATTGGATAAAGAATTAACTAATGGTCAGGAGACAAGAAGTGGGGTAGGGGGTTCTTTATCAGGTTGGTGAAATGTAACCAGTGGGATTCCACACGGACATGTGCTGGGACCACAACAGCTTACAATATATATATTAATGACTTGGAAGAAGAAAGTGAATGGGCTATAGACAAATTTGCAAATAACACATAAAAAGGCAAAAAGGCAGGTTGTGAAAGGGATACAAACAGTTTAAAGAGAGATATTGATAGGTTAAGCAAGTGGGCAAAATGTTGGCAATTGGAGTATAATGTGGGAAAATGTGAAGTTGTCTGGAGAGAACAGCGAATATTTAAATGGAGATAAACTGCAGAAATGTACAACACAAAAGGGAGTTGGGGGTATTTTTGCACGAAACACAGAAAGCTAGCACACAGGACAACAGGCAATCAGGAAAGCTAATGGAATGTTGGCGCTTACCATAGAAACGGCACAGCACAGAAGGAGGGCCCGTCTTGTTTATGTCAACCCAAAGACACTCAGATACCCTTTCTAATCCCATCTTCCTGCATGTGGCCCATAGCCCTGCAGCTTACAGCACTTAAGGTGCAGGACTATGGGCCATTTGCAGGAAGATGAGGAGACGAATAGGATGGGAATAGAGGGATACAGTCCCCGGAAGAGTAGGGGGTTTTAGTTGTGACAGGCAGCATGTCGGTTCAGGCTTGGAGGACCGAAGGGCCTGTTCCTGTGCTGTAATTTTCTTTGTTCTTCCTTGTTCTTATCCAGGTATTTTAAAAAAAAATTAGAGTCTCTGCCTCCACCACCAATGCAGGCAGTGAATTCCAGACACCGACCATCCTCTGTGTATGAAACATTTTCCCTCACCTGCCCTCCAATTCTTCTGCCACTTAGTTTGAATCTATAACCCCTGGTTTTTGAACTTTCTGCCAAGGGAACCAAGTTCCTCCTGTCTACTCTATCTCTACCCCTCACAATTTTGTATTCTTCAATCATGTCACTCCTGGGCCTTCTCTGTTCCAAGGGGAACAACCCCAAACTCTCCTCGTCGCTACAGTTCTCCAGCCCTGACAACATTCCAGGAAATCTTCTCTGTACTTTCTCCAGAACAATTACATCCTTCCTGTAATGTGGTGACCAGAACAGCACATGATACTCCAGTCGTGGCCTCACTAGGGTCTTACATAATTACATCATTATCTCCTTTTGTTTCTATATCTCTGCTGATGAAGGAGAGCATTCCTTCTGCCTTCTTTACAACCTTACCTACCTATGCTGCTATCTTTGAGGACCTGTGCACTTGCATTCAAGGATATCTCACTTCGTCTATCCCTCTCAGTATATTCCCATTTATTGTGTATTCCCTTATACTGTCTGACCTCCCTGAATACATTACCTCACAATTATCAGAGTTGAACTCCACCTGCCACTTTCCTGTCTATTCTACCAACCCATCTACATCATTTTGGAGTTCACAGCTATCCTCTACACTAACCACTAAACGCCCAATTTTTGTGTCATCTGAAAATTTCCCAGTTGTACCCCCCCCACATTCAGATTCAAATCTTTAAAATATGAAACAAACAGAAGGAGCCCCAACACAAAGCCTTGCGGAAACACCACATGAAACAGCTTTCCATTTGCAAGGACAGCCATTGACTATTACCCTTTGTTTCCTGTTATTAAGCCAACTTTGGATCCAAATCGACACATTATCCTGTATTCCATGGATTTTTATGCTTTTGACCAGTCTGCCACATGCGACCTTGTCAAATCCCTCACTAAAATCATGTAGACAACATCTGCTGCACTGTCCTCAATGATCCTTGTTATCACTTCAGAGAATTAAAACAAATTTGTAAGCCATGGTCTTCCCTTAGCAAAGCCATGCTGACTGTCCCTGACTCGTGCATGCCTTTCTAAGTAACAGAATATCTGATCTCTCAGGATTGATTCTAACAATTTGCACACCACTGAAGTAAAATTAACTGGCCGAAAATGATTGGCATTTCCTTTGTACCCTTTTTAAACAATGAAATCATATTTGCTTTTCTCCAGTCCTCTGGTACCTCACCTTTATCTTGTGAAGATTGGAACATAATTCTCAGAGCATCTGTTATTTCCTCCCTGACCTCCTTCAACATCCTAAGGAACAATCCATCCGGTACTGGTGGTTTATCCACTTTCCAGGATTCCAGCTCCTCTAATGCTTCCTCTCTCTTTAAGATTATTTTGTTTAATATTCCACACTGCACATCTTGGATTACTGCATCTGCATCATCCCTTTTCCTTTGTGAATATGGAAACAAAAAAAGACATTTAAAATTTTTCCCACATCCTCTACATCTTCAAACAAGTTCCCTTCTTCATTTCTCGTATGTCCTACTTTTTTCTTAACTATTCTTTTGCTCTTTATGTACTGTTAAAACATCCTTGGGTTTACCTTTATCTTGCTTGCCAATAGTTTTCACGTCCTCTCTTTGATTTCCTTTTTTCATTTTTTTCACTCAATCCCTGTACTTTCTATACTCCTCTAGGCTGTCTGCAATGTTGAGTGTTTTGTGATTATCATAAGCCTTCTTTTTCAGTTTAATCTTCTCCTGTATTTTACAAGGCATTTGGAATGTGAGAGTAGGAAGTCTTACTGCAACTATGCAGAGTGCTGGTGAGACCACATCTGGAGTATTGTGGTCCCCTCACCTGAAGAAAGGTTCATTGAACACAGTTTGGAGAAGGTTCACTAGGATGATTTCTAGTATGGAGCAATCGTGTTATGAGCAAAGGTTAAAATGATTGGGACCCTACTTGTTGGAATTTAAAAGAGTGAGAGGTGATCTCATTGAAACACATTGGATTCTTAAGGGGTTTGACAGGGTAAATGCTGAGAGGATGTTTCCCTTAATGGGAAATTCTAGGAGCAGAGGGCATATTTTCAGAATAATGGGGTGCAAATTTCAGACTGAGATGTGGTGGAATTTCTTAGAGTCAGAGTCATTGAGCTGTACAGCACAGAAACAGACCATTAGGTCCAACTCATCCGTGCCGACCAGATATCCTAAATTAATCTAGTATCATTTGCCAGCATTTGGCCTATATCCCTCTAAACCCTTCCTATTCATGTACCCATCCAGATGCCTTTTAAATGTTGTAATTGTACCAGCCTCCACTACTTCCTCTGGCAGCTCATTCCATACATGCACCACCCTCTGTGTGAAAAAGTTTCTCCTTAAGTCCCATAAACCTATGCCTAGTTTTTGACTCCTCCACCCTGGGGAAAAGACCCTGTCTATTTACCCTATCCATGCCCCTCATGATTCTATAAATTTCAGCCTCTGACGCTCCAGGGAACAGTCTATTCAGTCTCTCCCTATAGTTTAAACCTTCCAACCCCGGCAACATCCTTGTAAATCTTTTCTGAACCCTTTCAAGTTTCACAACAGCCTTCCAATAGCAGGGTGACCAGAATTGTGCACAGTATTCCAAAAGTGGCCTAACCAATGTCCTGTACAGCCACAACGTGACCTCCCAACTCCTATACTCAATGCACTGTCCAATAAAGGCAAGCATTCTAAATGCCTTCTTCACTATCCTATCTACCTACGATTCCACTTTCAAGGAACTATGAACCTGCACTCCAAGATCTCTTGGTTCAGCAACACTTCCCAGGACCTTACCATTAAGTGTATAAGTCCTGCCCTGATTTGCCTTTCCAAAATGCAGCACCTTACATTTATCTAAATTAAACCTTCATCTGCCATTCCTCGGCCCATTGGCCCATCT